GTGTGTGTGTGTGTGTGTGTGTGTGTGTGTGTGTGTGTGTGTGTGTGTGATGACCAGCAAGCCAACAAAGAGACACACCTTCAGGTGCTATTTTCATGCCTGCTCATGCAGAACCTCTGTAGTTTTTTTCTCTCCCTAACGTTTATTTGCCCTTCAACAATAGAAATAAACTGTGGGTGGAAATTACCAAGCACGTTGCCGAATCTAATCGTGTCTCAAGTTCATTCGCTAAGCAATCGCGTCTCTATTTATAACATTCTTCAGCGGGTTCAGTTCAATAGCCCACAGATCTAGGCCAAAATAAACCAGTTCATCCAGTTTTTCTTGTTTGTTGTCAAACTATTACAGATATATCTCTAAAAATACAACATATTAGACTTTGTCACATATTGAACGTAGTCTATCTTTGTGAAACTGGCTGCTGGACTTATTGTTGTCATTGGTGTTGACACAGTCCACCAACTGTCTTTCAACGGTCTTTCAAAGAGCTTTTAATGAGGAGGTAGCGTACATTCCGTAACAACGCTTATAGTCACCAGTGAGGAGAGCTCCACCTCTACAGCTAGTGATTTGGTCAGCGACGATGAGGATTCAGTGTAATCGGGTCAGTTGAATGATTTATGATTTTCCTGTACCTCTAAAGTGGAAAATGAAATTCAACTAAAAATAATTAGTTGAGATTTCTAAAAGTCAGACAGATTTAATTGATCAATTGTGTCTTGTACAGGATCACATTTTTCAGATGTGCCAGCATCATTAGCACAAGATGCGTTTCATTATTATTTATCCCAAGCCATTGGAGGCTTCATTAGCTGCAGGCTGATGCAGCACGCGGCCTCTAATTTTAGCATCTTTTTATTTATTCAGAATGGCCACGTGTTGGATGGTATGCCTACTTGCCATGTTCTCTCACAGCAGCTTAGAGACTTGTTGAAAGAGAGGTGGGCTGGTCTGTGGAGAAATGGGCCTCATTCCACCTGTGTCACCCCCACCAGACGTCTGCCTCTCCTCAGCTCTTTGAAGCCTCTTTAATTCCAGCGTTCAGGATTAAGCCCATGAAAAAAGGATGAAAAGTGATAGAGCGACAGGAGGAGACATCCTCGGAGAGGACAGGCTCCTTTGAAATATGTTAAGAATTTCGTTTGCACTGACCCACAATGAAGCATCTGAGGGATTTTTTTTTTTGGCTGGCTATAGGATTTGCACGAGGAGGAAAAGGACTCTTTGAAGTCATGGATGTAAGTGGAACTGGAGTTTTCTGAAACCTAAATGAGCGCCCCGAGACATTGTCCTTGCATTGTACATTACAAACTGAGAAAGTTGCTTTGTCAGAGCATGTTTGATTGGAAGTCAAAGGAATCAAGTTTTTTTTTTTTTTTTTTTTTTTTTTCTTCTCATAGAAAAAATTCACTATTTGTGGACTCTCTGTGCGGTCTGTATCATGGCCGAGTAAAATTGATAGAAATATGGATATTACAGTTTTTGGCAGATGGTGCACAATGGAGGTACATTCAGACAGGCAGTCATGCTTCAATTACCGTCTTTATTTACAATCACAGCCAATATTTAGACAGTATGGTCTTCCTTGTTGTGTACAAACAAAGAAACTGTAGAATTAAGAAAACAGCTGTTGTTTAATTACAGACATTTTGTAGATGCACAGAAGTACAATAGGTTTAATTTATATGTACAGGAGCTGCTGATGAAGTTACAAAACACTAGATTTTCCTGCCAGGTGTTTCCACAAAAAGAAGAAACAAAATGCACATTAAAGGTCATGTGGCATGTCAGACTACCTGAACCTGTCTAGTCAAAACAGTTTAACCATCAACAGGCTGTCAAAATGAGAGAACGCATCTCGGCTGGTGGAGTTAACTACGGTTGTGACGTAGAAATGTTATAAAATGACCACAAATTATGATAAGACCTGCGTTTTTATACGGTAGCACTTTTCAGAGACAGTAATCCATGAAAATGTAAATGAGACAACAGAGAGGTAGAAAAAAAGACAATTAAAATGTAAAAAGTATAATTGTGGAAGGGGGTGGAAGGCAATAAATGTGGGTATGTGTTACTGAGACCTCAAATTTCACACCCTCAGAACACATTTGAAGTACCGAGCCCAGAAATTACACGTCAGTTATCGCAAGCAGTGCATTCAAGTGCTGACTTTATTGTGGCTTAAATGATTTTTTCTGTGATTTTTGTCCTACCTTCAGTAGAAAGCCACTCGCATTCTAGCTTAAGCGTCTCGCACGTTATTGCACAAAGGCAGCCCTGCCCTAAATACGCCCCTAAGTACGGCTTTGTGAGGCTCACGTTTACAGAGAAAACTTTATTACTCAGAAATTGCCTCACAGAGTTGTTTATTTAAGTCTATGATCATTTTAAAGGCAATTTCTTCTGACTTTCTGTGAACATTTTGCCATTTCCCACCACCCAGCTTCACTGCGTCCGTTTATGTTGTCAACATTTTCCGGCTGCGAGAGCGTTTTGCAGTTCATGCAGTTTTTGTGACGCTTCCCTGAAAGCTCAAACATAAAAGTGAGTTATTGTGGAGCCTCTTAAAGCTGACGCATGTTTTTAATTGTCATTCAACTTAGCCAGCGAATCCGTCTTTGTAATTGAAGTTTGTTGCCTCAGAGCTTAAACTGTTGTCCACATGGTATTCCTCTTATTTTGTCCACCCCTGTAGTGTTGTCAAGATTTGACTAAGAGGAGCAGACGAGACCCTAACCAGCCCTTCCTCATGATTGAAGCTGTAAAATCGAACACACATTTGTGTCCTGAATGAGCACAGATTTTATTGCACCATTTCAATTTTAATTGAAATGTTTAAGGCAATGAATTGAAAAGGGCACAATACATTAAAGCAGTTAAATTGGTTGTGGGGGGAGAAGGACTAAGGTAGTAAATGGGAAGAAATATAAAATCATCAAATCGAGTTGTCTGCACTTAAAATCTGATGGGAGTTGCCAGTGAAATTAACAGGTTCCCCTCTGGGTAAAGGTCTAATCAGTGGTCTCCCCACTTAGTCCGAAGAGGGAAGGCAGGTTAACATAATGAAACACAACTTTGGCGCTCGAACTCTTTGAAGTGTGGGTTTTCAGTTTTACAAATGTGCCCTTTGGACTTGACTGGCCAGATGTAATAGGAAGGAGGATACCATTCGAGCTGGAAAGCACATGCAAACACACATTCGCTGTGTGGGCAATAGCTGCGTCAAAGCCACCTGCAGTTCCATATTTACCACAGCCTGGGCAAACAGCAGTGAGCGAAGGACTCCTCAGGCACCTGCTGTTAGCCGGTACATGCTGCTGTCTGTATTTTACAGGGATATGGTGTGATCATGTTTCCTGAGACAAAACAGTGTACTTCCTGAACACATAGTGCTGAAAGGTGTTGACGAAAAAAAAAAAAAAAAGAAGTGCAAATGAAGTTGGAACAGATCCAGGGTTTTTAAATAGGCTTTTATTGTGTTATAGCTTGAGATGGCTCTCTGCTTTAATCTTTCTTTACCCTCACACAGAGCAGTTGTATTTCTTCACCAGCGATCATGTCTGATACTAAGTCAATTAAATCCAAATTAACACACCTTCAGAACTGGAGCAGTAGGTTGAGTCACACATAAATAGCTGCACACTGTTAGCTGGAGCATATAGTAGCGCAGACTCTTGAAGGTTCAGAAAATCCAAATTACATGTAAATAGTTTTGTTTTTATTTTGACAAGTTAAAGGAAATTTGTCTGAGATTTTAGTCAAAAGGCTCCAAGTTTAGGTCTTCTGACTCCAATTTCTCACATAACTGCAAGAAAACGAATAACCGTATTTACCAAAACTATTCCTTTAAACCCTTGTGAGTGGGACATCTGACTGGTCCACATGACCATTACTTTGCATGTCTGAGTGTGTGTTAAGTGTTGTATGTTAACCACATGCCTACTCTGCACTGCAGTTTTCGATGGTTAATGTACATTTATGAGTGTATTTAACTGCATTAATAATGGAAAACCTCTGTCTTTCTTTTCTCTCTAGAGATGGCAAGCTGGGTCTCCCTCCTCCTCTTTCTCTTCTGCCAGCCAGTCTCACAAGCCCAGGAGGAGAGCAGCACCATCCCCATCCTATTCACCTCTGAAACCTCCATCAACAATGTGGTCCAGGACCCCCAGACCGGTCGAATCTACCTGGGGGCGGTCAACGCCATCTACCAGCTGGGGCCGTCCCTCCAGCGGCAGGCTCGTGCCGAGACGGGCCCCAAAAATGACGCCCGGACCTGTACGCCTCCTGCCTCTGCCTGCCAGGACACCAAGCCCATGCCCAACCTTAACAAGCTTCTGCTGGTCCATCCCACCAACGGTTCACTCATCGTCTGTGGCAGCCGCTACCGAGGCATCTGCTCCCTCCACAACCTGACCAACGTGGAACAGCAGCTGTATTACAGTGACATTAAAGGAGAGAGGACTTACGTGACTAGCATAGAGGATAACGTGAACGTGGTGGGCGTCATGTCCAACTACTCAAAAGATGGTCACACCTTCAGTGTGTTTCTTGTTGGGAAGGGCTTCGGAAGCCTGGACACTGCAAAACTCATCAGCACACGAATCCTTCAGGACTTCCGTGATTGGGTCGTGTTCGAGAGCATCATTGAGGCATCTACGGTGCAGACGACGCCATTTGTTCCCAAGTACCTGCATGACTTCCGCCATGCCTTCAAAGAGGATGGTTTTGTTTATTTCCTCTTTTCGCGGACACTTGATGGTTCGGATAATAAAAACGTCACCTTTGTGTCTCGTCTTTGTGAAAATGACGACCATTACTACTCCCACACAGAGCTCCAGTTAAACTGCGGCCAAAATAACAGATACAACAAAGTTCAAGCTGCGTATGTGGCTTCACCGGGAAAAGAGCTGGCACGGGCCATGACTGAATTAGGTATGTATGGGAAGGTCGTGTCATGGAGCAAAGTTCTGTTCATGGTAGCGAGTCCCGATGACGACGTCAACGACTCGGCTCTCTGCATGTACCCACTCAACTCCATCAATGAGCGCTTGGTGGACATCATCAGCGCCTGCTACAGTGACTCGGGGAAAATTGGCGATTTACCCGCTGTGGGAATCCCCTACTCATCAAAAACTGACTGCACATCAACAATTTCGGTAAGTGCTTCTTTTGTGTGTCAGCTGATGAAAGTTTTAAAGAAGGTGTTTGGAATAACAGATGTGACTGTGATACGTTTTGAAGAATCCCCTTCGTGTTATTTATAATGCATGGATGCGTCACTGTTTACTTTAATGTCTGTGTTTACTTTGTTCTGCAGATCCTTTTTTTTATTGTTCTCTTTAAAGCTTTTCTTCTGTCTCACACATCTTCCCTTCTTCCATGTCTCTTTTCTCAATTCCCTCAACTCATCCAGAATATTACCATATAGTAGCTGTGGGCAAATCACCATCATCTTTCATAGTTCACATCAAAACTTTTATTTTCTGGTTTTTCACAAGCCTACTAAAGATGACAATGTAAATACAAAGCAAATGTAGTTTCTAATAAAAATGAGATTGTAATATCTAATATGGTCTGACACCCTCATTTTAAGTCTATATGACCAGAACAGATCTCAGAACTCAAATAGGTGTGTCTCTAACAGAAATGGCTGCAACATCAATAGTGTTTTCAGTCGACCTTAAATGAAGCAGGGCACTGTCCATCATGTGGGGATATCCCATCAATGAAGTCTCTTGTAGTGCAACACAGAACATATATGTATTTGCATATATTAATCTTTTTTTTTTTGTCAACAAATCTGCTGTGACACTGTTACCACAAACTTGCAAATGAGAGGAATCGCCTCATAAAACAAGCTTTTAAAATGTTTTTTATTCAAATTAATTCTTAATTAAACAAAACTTATTGAAAATGCACCTCAGCGCAGGGGATTTCCTCTCATATTCTTTGGATTAAAGCGTTCAGTGTCTCATCATCCTTTTTGTTTTTCCTTTTCTTTTATAGAAAGATACTTTGGAAAACGTCAAGTGTGGTGGAGACTATCTGCCGTCCCCTCTGGCCAGCAATCCGGGATTTGCCTTAAAGGCAGTTGCGGTTTGGGCCAAGTCGGGCTTGCTGTCTGCTGTGGCCGTTGCTGTGGAGAATGATCACACCATCGCCTTCTTGGGGAACACCCAGGGGGAGGTTTTCAAGGTGGAATTGTGCTCTTCTCTGCTCAGCTTATTGTTTTCCTCCCTTTAAACATTTACTCTTACCTGAGGGAAGCAGGATAAGGGACTTTATGTCTGACAGTGTTACCTTTTGTTTTCTATCCAGGTACACCTGACCGAGACGGGATACATGTACAGTCGGGCTTCTGCTGACCCCATGGGAGAGAAGGTCAACAAGAACCTTTTCTTTGATCGCAGTCAAAGCCACCTCTACATTACCACAGAGAAGAAGGTGTGTATGTCAGGGCCCTTTTGTAACACAATCATATATAACACTTGTCTACGCAGGAGGCGTTTAGGCATGTAGGTTACCCCGTGATTTAGCAGCGTTGCGACCCCAAGACACAATCAATGCAGTCATGTAAAACTGAGCAAAGTAGACTTGAAAAAGATGCTTTGAGCCGCAGTTAAATGTGTAAAGAGTTAAACACCAGTACGACAGCTGTATTGATTCAAATTGAAGCGCATCTATTTCATCAGTATTGTACACACACTGTCTATCTGGCTTTAACTGAAAATAAGTAATATAGGTTCTTGAATTAATAAATAAGTAAATAAATAATTTACAAAAATAAATACATTATATATATTCATGATATGACCAATATGTTTTTGACTATAAATCTGATATATATGCTACAGGGTGCTGTGTTTCCCACACAATTAGATTCTATTGCAGAGCATGTGCGATTGACAGTAGACCCTTCTTGCGATAGAAGAACAAACGGATAAGGGAGAGATACAGCGAGAGGAGATTGCCGACTAGTTAATTGATCGCGGATGGCGTTGTTCTCTTGGGCAGATGAAAACAAGTTTAAATGAAAAGTGCTAAAATGTGTCGCCAAATAGTCTGTGTATAGTCCATGTCTGAGCATTGGGGGCACTGGGGTTAAATCAGTGGAGCAAGAAGTACTTTTTCAGTGAAGTAGAAATACCAAAATGTAAAATTGAAAGTATTATCAGCAAATTTCTTTAGGAATCAAAAGTAAGAGCACTCAAAAAGAATTTCCCTTTCAGAATGTGATATTGTTATGTATGTTACAATACTGGAATTTAATTACAGATGCACTAATGTGTAAGCAGCAGTTTAATGTTAATGTAGGTGGTTGATGTGGAGCCAAGTCTACAAACCTAATACTGTTGGGTACTTTAATCTATAACACCGTCTCATATTTTATTAGATGATTGCACTATATGTAACCTGATAATAAGACTGAGTAGCAATTTCATTTTCCCTTCTTTCAGTCTGTTTGAATTGGTAAACAACTCGGGAGATGTGATTCAGAGCTCTGAAACGAGGCTAGATTATATTATATTAAAGTTCAAATCCTGCCTGCACACCTGGCCTATCAGGCACATGTAAAGTAAATGAACTTGGATGCTTTCCACCACTGGGTACAATGCACATTTGGCATGTAGGGAGAGGCAATTGTTTCAGTATTGGAACATGGGGAGCAAACAGGAAGTCTCGGTGCTTTGACAGGACGTGTTTTACTTCCACTCTGCACACCTGCAACAAACTAAGGATCGTTTCGAGCCGTATTTTAAATGCCCCATATTTCGAGCAGTGTCTCCCCTAAGGTGCATTGTTTGATCATGTTTCATGTTGCTATGCTCCAGATCACCAAGGTGCCGGTGCAGACGTGCCTCCAAAAGGAGGACTGCCAATCATGTGTGGAACTGAGGGACCCTTACTGTGGCTGGTGTGTCCTGGAGGGCAGGTGAGGATGAGGATCACACGCAGACTTAAAAATGCATGCACACAGCGACAGACCGACACGAACACCCACACATGCAATTCCATCTGTAAAACACAGCAGGGTATTTGTTCTGTGTTTTATTGCAGACACTTTTAGTACCCCTCTGTGTTTATATTCCATCTCCTGTTGTCCGTGCAGCCGTGAGGAATTAAAGCTGTTTGTCAGCCTCATGCAGCGAAGGCAGTCTGTGCAATTTACTCTCATCGGTTTATATTTATCAGGGTCTCGAGGGTAGAAGGGGCGGTATGTATCATGTATTTTACAGAGATGGGAGCAGGAAAATGAGAAATATCAGAAAAACAGTTGTCTCCCTCTGGAAGTTGTTGATACTCTTATTCAGAAACAATGCACGCTCTTTGCTAAGCTTTAAAGCTGCAGCGTTTAGCAGATTTATTGATCGATGGTCGATGGTGAGTCAGATAAAGCGAGATATTTGATGACAACAACTTGAGCTCTAGGACACTGTGCCAGCCATGTTTCTCTGTTTTCAGATGTTTCATCGACGAGATGATTAATTGATGAAGGAATAATGATTCGATAAATAGATAATGAAAATAATAATAAGTAGCGGCCCTACTTAACTTGTTTGCTTTTCTCTCTTCACTTCTACTTCTTGAAAACTATTTAATGAACATTGATTTGTTATATTGTGTGCTCCTGTTTGTTTGCAAATTATTGACATCATCTCCGTCTGTGTTACATTTTATTTTGAATTGTGTTATACCCAGTTGATGATGACAAAAGAGGGTTTTTTTGTAATTCAAGATTACATATTGATTTTTTTTTTTCGTCTCCTGTGCAATATACTATTATCAAATCATACTGTACATTGTCAAATGTTATTTCACAAATCCAGATAACAATTAGGGCATATAGTGTTTTTTCTAGCTATATAAAACTTAATCTTAGAAATCTGCACGGACGCAGCTTGAAGTCACTTGGGCATGAGGTTGTTATTGACAGAAGCACATTGAAAATCTGTTGGAGTCCATAGGCTTTGTTTTTTGAGACCTTGTACTGTAAAAGCGTCGAGGGGTTGTGGAGCAGAGGCTGATGGGAGTTGTTCATCCTTCGTCTGAAGGTGTACCAGGAGGTCTGAGTGCCGACGGGCGGAGGAGAAGAATGGCTGGCTGTGGAGCCCCAGGCAGCAGTGTGTCAAGATCGTCTCCTTCTATCCCCCAAACCTTTCTTGTAAAAAGACTCAGAAGGTACTGCGCTGCTTCTCCTCTCACTCACTCTTTGTTCTCTGCTTCTCTTTCTGTCTCTCTCGCTCTGCAGATCGCTCTCACATGCACGTCACACGAACATGCACAGCCTGAGAAATAAACTGTTTCCAGGGTGAATCAGAGACCCTGGGCTCTAGGTCTTCCTGCCTCACTATCGATCCATCCAGACAACTCAAAACTGGCTTATTATAACCGACCTGGTTGATTGTGCTCACAGTCTGAAGATGGAGAGCCTCTCCTGTGCACTTTGTCTCTCAAGTTTGCACTTTGTCCCTCCCTTTCTGACTCACTCTTGTATAGCCACAAACGGCAACCAATCAATGTCCGGGCTTTAAAAGGAAACGGTGATCAGAATCATACACCGAGCAGCGAAATTAATTTAAATTGAAGTGATATTACTCAGCCAAACAGGTGATAGGCAACAATCCTTTCTGTGAAGAACTCAGTTTCAGCCACTTCCAAAGCCTTTGTATATTATTTTGTGTTCAGGTGAAGATCAACATCCCCTCCCTTCCTGTGATTGGGCTTTCTGACCGTTTGCTGTGCACCTTTAAGTCGGTCGAGAGTGAAGGCACCATGTCTGACTCTGGTCAGGTCTCCTGCGATCTACCCAGCCCTTCGCTTATACCACATACACCTGAGGACCAAGGTATGTCCAGACAAATGTCTGTTGTTATCCATTATAACCAAGGTTGTATCGCCAATGGGCAAAGCAGGCAAACAGCCTCAGGGTCCCCAGACTCTAAACGCCCCAGGTTTACAGCATGTCAGCTGGTTTTGGTAATTTAATTAATTGTGTATTTGTCTGGAATTTGCACCACTAAACCACCACCACTGAACTAAGGTAAGTTATTAGCGAATCTTGTGGCCTTGTCTTATAGAGGTGTATTCATTTCCAAAGTCTGTTTTTATGGGCTTTATTATTTTAGTTTATGCTTGAAACACACATCCATGTCCCTCACGGGATGAATTGTAAAACTAATTACATTAAAGAAGATTACATATACGCACATCAGGAAAGGTTCAAGGCTATCAGAAAAACAAAGTCGGTGAGGAAAAAAGGTAACAACTGCACACTTATTTCATGCCATGAAGGTTTATAAAAGACTGTTAATATGACTAATTATCGAGAACGATCACTTTTTTTAGATTGGTGTTTCGACCCAATTCAAGATTTCTTCTTTCGCTGTTTCCCTCCAATTTATGCAATATTTTTGAACAGAGGTGATGAAGTTCATGATATGTGGTGATGAATACGATCTAATGTTTAGAAATAACATACATGTGATAAGTATGGCTTTAGTATTACTGTTTTTTTGTGTACTCTTTCTATGTACTTCGTTGAATTGTAATTTGTGGATGTTTTATCATCCTGTTTTTTGGATAAACCACACCTGCCATCGTAGAGCTTATTTGCCGTTTGGTGTGTGTGGGATGTATGAATATGGGTGTAGTTTCTATTTTTTAAACATTCTCAACTGATGAAGATCCAATTAGGAAACCTAGTCATTCATTTGTGGCACGGAGTAAGTGTGCAGGCGTTGCCTTTTTAAAAAACTAATGACATTCCCATCAGCCTCGGCTGTACTTTGTGTGTTTTACTAATTAGCAAATGTATTAACGTTGGCATTTGTTAGCATTGTCATTGTGAGCGTGTAAGCATGGTGACGGGAGCATTTAGCTCAAAGTACTCCTGTGTGCACAAGTACAGCTTTACATAGCCACGAGCATGGCTGTAGACTCTAAGTCTGGTTAGATGAATGCATTAATACATAATTGGTATAAAGGAAGTTGAGGCCATGCTCTGTCAAAAATGATTTGAAGATCGTGTGTCAGAATATGTCGTCCTTCCTGCGTTGTTTTGTCTTGCCGTGAACAATTTAAGTCTTGCATATTCAGAATTATTCCCGATGACGCCATCCCCATTCATAAATGTGTAAAACTCATATCCCACCAAAAGCTAGTGAAGCACATTTTAACCCTCTCTCTGCTGCATCCTCAGACTTTGTGGCCGTGGCCGTCAGGATTTTTGTTAACGAGACTGTGGAGCTGGCTACGCGGGAGTTCAAGTTCTATAACTGTGCTGCCACATTTAGGAAATCCGAAAACACACCGTGAGTCACTCTTAATCTATCAGTTCTGCTCTGTCACTCACAGAAAGTACACAGTGACACTGAACACAGCATCAACTGACAACCTTGATGTAAATGTATCACCGTGCATGAACAGATGAGAGATCAAGGCTGTGTTTGTAAATTGTGATGCATGGTAATTTTGAATGCACCTCTTGCATTTTCTCTCCTCCTTTTATTATCAAGCCGAGGAAATTGCTTCAGTTTCCTTTTCATTAATCAAAAAATGAAAGTCAATCTCGCCATTTTTTTTTTCCACCTCTTTATTTTTTTCTTCATTTCTTTCATGCCAAGGAATGTGTGATGAACGAGCTTTGCTTATGTGAAGTTGCAGAGATCCATTTTGTTGTCAGCAACATGGATTTCTTTGCCGAACGCTCCTTGATGAGTTTGCATGTTTTAAGATTTTGTTTGTGTGTGTGATTTTACGCGTGTGTGTGACTGCCTAATTAAATGCCCTCGAAAGCATTTTCTCATCTTTGGTCTATTTTTGTGTGTGTGTCCTCAGGTGCATGTCATGCGTGGCCAGTTCGTGGGGCTGCCAGTGGGACACATACGCCCACACCTGCAGTGACATGGACGACAGTCTGATGGGTGAGAACATCATCAAGCACCGTCAGGTGAGTCTTCTCAAGTGTTAACACATCATTGGCATGTCAAGAAGCTTCATCTCTGAAGAAGCTTCATCTCTGTGTGGAAAAAGTGCAACAGAAGTTTTAAAAGACGCATCTAATCACCACACGTGAGGGGACGCATGAGCGATCCAAATTTCCCCTGAAAACTAATAAAAAAAGAACTCAAATCCCGGTATCAGCTGGCACCATCTTGCATGACAAATACTGTAGGGTGGAGGATACCAATTTATAAGTGAGCAGATGTTTCAGCGATACACTTATCTGTAACCGCAGACGAGGGTGTCCGTTAAGTGGTTCGCATATTTAAAATGTAAATTATTAAAAGTGTGAGTATCTGATTTGTTTTGATGCCTTCTCAGGGAGCGAAGTGTCCTCAGTTTGAGAATCCAGATCCTGTGCTGATCCCTGTGGGCTACAAGACTCCTATCGGCTTCGAGGGGATAAATTTGAACCTCAACCAGGTAAAGAGACACAGAATTTATAACATTTTTGGAGAAATAACTGTCTCTTCTAAACATTTATTCAGTATGGCCTTAGGCCCGCCATGAGCCGGATTGATCGCAATTTTTAACCAGTGCATGACTAAGAAGTACACAACTCCCCTTAGCTGCGATATGATCACAATATATCTTGGGCAGAAGTGAGCTATTGCTTCTATAAAACGCTCATCAAGTATGGCTGTACGAAAGTTATACATACAGTCCAATTTAAATGTTTTTTTATTGATAGATAATAATGTTCACAAAAAGAGGCCCTCTTGGGCTGGTTGTCTGCACAAGAGGCACCCCGAGGTGGTTGATATGGAACGCACACTAGCAGGTAGAATATTTATCTTTTTATCACAGGCTAGCATTATATTTGATTTTATTATTTGGCTCTTCATTTACATTATTTGAATGTTGCCATCTATTTTGCAGCCACTGAGAAACTGTCCACCATCGGTACGATGACTTTGATAGCTGCTCGTACTCGGCTCGCCCTTTATTTGTGTGGATGTGTTGCTTGGAGAGGATGTTATTTCACTTTCTCCCGGCCTTGAGTTTTGGTTGCCAATGGCTTTTGAGAGAGACACTTCATCTCTCTCGTGTCAAGACCCGCATCAGATTATTTTTGTAGCAGTTCTAGCAGCTATGTGGGTAATGTATCATGAATTGTAAGCAATCAGATTGCTTGATTGAGCTACTCATTTTATAAAAGTATTTAACTTTAATCAAAGAAGTGTGTATGTACAGCAAAAACTAAAAGCAACAGTAGGATGGGCCGGTTTTCACTAACAAATTGATAACTAGTAACTCCTTGTTAACACCTTCTGTGTGTAGTGTTCTCTTATAGAAAACTTTGATACAGTTGCGAACAGGAAAGGAAAGGAGCCAATCATGCCATGTCAGCCAAGGGCTGGAAGAGTCTACAGTACAACAGTCTTTTAGATTTCTTGCTCAGCAGTGGAAAAAATGAGGAGCATTAGAGAACATTAATTATCAAATAGGATCTACATATATTAATCCACCATGTTTTTTTAAATGTTGTATTATTCTCCAGGGTCGTGTTGTCACGATCGGCACTGCACTGATGAGAAACACGGAAGAGGAGGTCAATATTGACGACGGGCCGTTGTACGTCTTCAGCGGCTTCAATGTGAGTACCACTGTTTTCTAGTTGCTTGACGCTCAGCCCTCAACTGTATCTCTGTATTCACAATGAACTGCTGATTTTGTTCCTTTGCTGGGATGCGAATGCCAGGTGAATTTGTCCTTCACCTGATTTTACATTTTAACAGTTTAGATCCAAACTATCTATGAACTGACTTTGTTTTTCAGGGTTATAAATCAAATCACCCTTTAGCAGTCACTTAGATATTCTCTAGCTCCCTCTAATGGACAGACTCTCCTCACTGGAGTTATTTTAACTGCCTCTCCACATTGTGAATTCTGTGATTTGGAGGCTCAAACAGTACCTAGCCCCCAGCTATGTTCTTTCCCAACATTGATTTCTTCAGCTGAAAAAATCAGATGGGGTGTAATTTTTTTTCCTTTCTTTTCTTGCCTTGGCATGAGAGAGCGGCAGCCCACACTGTTTGCCGAGAAGAGCTTAAGTGCCATTAATCACTGGATTCTGTATTAATAATTCATTTTCTTCCAATTTCTTAGTTTTCTTACGACAAGTCACCGGAGACCAATGTTCTCTTCTACGTGAAGGACAAAGAGTCGGGCAAGAAGATGGACAGCACGCTGAACGGTACACTCGCTCACATTTTATCATGGAGGGTTTACAGTATTTTTAATGCCGCTGGTCCCAGTGTGGGGCCGCCATTATATCTGAGAAACTGCTTTTAATCTTTTATTAAAAATAATTAAAAACTTATACTGCAAATGACTGCACAGTTACCTTGTCATGTAACTTAAAAGTTTTAAGAAGACGCAAATATAAACATCTTGCTAATTATTCATGAAAAGCGAGACCTTTAAGTATGAGAAAATTGGTATAATTCAAACTGTGCTAATAGTTTTTCTCCTCCCTACTTCTCCTATAGTCACCCTGTATAATTGCTCCATAGGGAGGGAGGACTGTAGTCTCTGTAAGAATGCAGATCCAAAGTACAGGTGTGTGTGGTGCGCCAAGCAGAGGGCGTGTGTGTACAACGAGCTGTGCAATCCTGACCAACAACGGTCCGAGGATCCTTACAACACCGAGTGTCCCGACCCCCAGATCACCGATGTGAGTAGTTACGATGACGTCATCTCTTCATGTTGACTTTTGAACTGGAGACAGTACGTGCATGAAAGGCTTGTGACTGGCAGTGAAAAAGCAGCGGATTTGGTGATTGGATTATTGATTGGACCATCTAATTGGCCTCTCCACTTTCTCTCGACGGAGTTGCTTCTCCTTGAGGGCGTGTTGAGCTGATCTGCAGCACGTCATGATTGGATCAATTCTTTCTTTGATTACTTAATTGTTGGCGTCACATTGTCATTGACAAAAATCGTTGATGTCATTGTGACGGAGGTTATGGCCATACATACAACAGCCTGACCAATGCATAAAGATATCACAGTGTGTGGTGTGTTGGCTAGATGTTTTGTGGCATTTTTTATGTATATTATCGGTTATGGTGGTCGCTCCATTACGTTGGTCCAGACTGAAATATCTCAACAACTATTGGATGGATTGCCCTGAAATTCATTCAAGACATTCATCGTCCCCAGAGGATGAATCCTTCGGGCTTTATTGATCCCCTGACTTCCTTTTAGTGCCATGTCCTGTCTACTATTGGATGGATTGCTACAACATTTTGTACACACATTCATGTCCCCCTCAAGATGAATTGTAATAACTTTGGCGATCCCCTGATTTTTTTCATCCAGCACCATCATCATGTCCCATTGTAATTTCAATATGTCCAATACTTTAGTTTATGAGCAAATATCTGCCTCCTATCAGCCTTAGCTGTTCTTTGTGTTTTGTGCTACTTAGCAAATGTTAGCATGCTAACACTAAAATGGTGAACATTATCCTCAAGTTTCTTTCGTATCAGCATCCAAAATCCAGCATCAGTTGGGCTCTAATACATACACATATATGCAAACTAGGCTCATACCGTATGGATGTAATTCTGAACCATGGTCTTGAATATTAAACACTTAAACCATTCAGCGGACTTAAAGAGACTGTGTAAATCTCCTGTACATTCTTATTGCGCAACTAATCTGTTGAAATCCATTTCAAGTCCCTTCTTTTTAAAAACACGCCCCCCACCACTGTATCTCCCCACCCAGATCATCCCTCTTTTCGGCCCCCTGCGTGGAGGGATCTCCATCACCATCCGGGGCTCCAACCTCGGCATCCACAAGGAAGACATTATAAGCATCAGTGTGGTTGGGGTGCCCTGTATCCATCAGAAGGAGAAGTACTCTGTTTCCACAAGGTAATACTCACTTTCATGTATTTATGCAAATGTAGAGCAGTAGCAGCACACCCACTTTCTCCCTATTGTTCGCTGTTGGTCAAACTGTGTTTGGCAGGTTTGCAAAAAGGAAGGTAACTAGGGTGCATGTTACAATTAGCTCACTATGCCAGTGTAATGATCTGAATGGCAGTGGTGGAAGAAATAGTCTGATCCTTTTTTTGAGTAAAAGTACAAACAACAAAAGCACTAGTTTCGAAGAGTTGGATACTTTCACCTCTTTGGGCCTAAACCAGTTATTTAATTTTTTAGTGGAACTTCTAACAACTCGTAGACATCTGAAAGGTGACAGTAAACTAGACACTGCTCTTTCATGAAGAGTCACAAGCCAAAAAAGTTTTATGAGCCCTAGTTTAATCATTAGCAATGAATTGTACATCTTTTTTTAAGTAATAAAGTAATGTAATAAAAAGTACAATATTTTCCTCTGAAATGAATTGCAGTAGTATAAAGTATCAGAAAAGACCTCAAAAATTGTACTTGAGTAAATGTACTTCCTCCTCTGGGGAATACTGCTGAATGTCCGTTTTTAAATACTGTCTGCGGCCACAAATGAGCAGAGCAGCCTACGTTCTTTGAGTTATGAATTCACCAAAGCACTGATTTCATTGCATCACATATTTGCCACAGCTTGTTGGTGGCCTCTTCATGCTGCAGACACTCTGTTCCTCCCAAAAAAACATTGGAATAAACTTCAAGTCTCGCAAATGCACTTCATTCACAGCAGCGTTCACTTTATGCAAATAGTATATGAAAAAAATAAAGCATCCACATCGTCACCTCTAGCCAGAACTGTTGACACCTGGCAGGATGGATCCACGTCTATGACTAATTCTTGCCCCGCCATCTGCATGATGAGGCATAAACCAGGATTTATGAGACCAGATGGAATGTTTTTCACCCTTAAATCATCCACTGCTGGAGCTCACATGCCCGCTGTAGACTTCATCTTGTTGTCCTCCATGGTCTACAGCATGTTGGCGCTCACTTGCTTTAAGATTTGACAGCTTTTCCACTGCAATATTTCATTCCTTCACACATCACTGTCGTAGCTGTTAATTGTCTACTAGTGGCCCACCTGTTAGCCCGAATGATGCTTGCCATTTTATGCTGACCGGTTTCATCAGCAACACATATTCCTAGTGGACGTGTTTGGTTTATCACACTTTTCCTAGACTCTGCAGTGTGCTATAATTCCCAAAGGACTATATTTCTAACATGCTAGAAGCAGCAAAACTGGCATTAAAAAACATAATGCATTCATATCTGCTTAGTCGTCAGATGAAATTGTTTGTACTTCCTTTTTTTTTTTTTTTTTCTTTTCAATTACCCAAGTTATTTTCACCAGTTCCTCCAATTAACGAAAACTAGACAGTACTCATTTGTCTGCCAATGTCGACAATATTCAGGTGCTGATTTAGATGGTAAATTTGGACAAAGATTGCATGAGGCTGTTTGTTTTCAATAGAGCAGCCGTAAGTAAGTAGTAGAGACAAGAGTTTTTATTTGTGGAAGTACATTACAGGAACATTAATCAGGAATACAGGTCTTACATGGAGTTAAAACGAGTCAGTTAATCGCTTAGTCAATGGACAAAAACAGAAACATGTAATGATTCTCTGTATCTTGACCTCATCAAAACCTATAAATTAATCAAGAAAATAATCAGAAGATGAAGTGATAATTAAAATGATTGTTACTTGCAGCCCTACTCTAAAGTATTTTTTGTTGTTGTCCTGTCCAGCGTGGTGTGTGAGATCGGCCCTGTTGGCCCCATCAATGGTAACTGGGGCCAGGTGGAGGTGGAGGTGAAGGGAGGAAAGAGAGGAACCTCTTCCATCTACTTCACCTACAGGGTAAATACTTATTACTACACACTCACTCTCTCTCTCTCTCTCTCTCCTCAGCTGCACTTTCAATATGGAGGCGTAAAACTTTGGACCCAGAACATAAACTCATCCAAAAGCTTTCAGCTGATTGTGTTATTTTATTGCCTCTATTATGTTTCCATTTCCTAACTGATGAGAGTTCCTTATCAGAACATACCAAGGGCATGTCATTTATGCAGAATGTACATCCTAACGTTTTGGTAAATGCACCGTCGAGATGCTGTCACAGTACAACGGTAATGCACTGTATAAAAAGCCACAATGTGCGTGCATTCCTCTTTAACCAGATGCTGTGCAGTAGGCCCCCCTTTTCTCTCAAATAGCTACGCTGTAGCCTGTTAAAGTATTAAACTGGCTTTTCATATCTCTGGCTCCGCTAAAGCTTCCCCCACAGGGGAGTGCTCCTCCTAACTGTTTGCTCAGCAAATTGAGGCGTGTGTGTGTGTGTGTGGGTGTGTGTGTGTGTGTGTGTATGTTTCTAATAGAGAGCTGGAGATCAAGGAGGTTGAGAGGAAATGTGTGTAACTTTATGCCAAAGCATTGTGTGTGCGTGTTGTTGAGTGTGTGAGCATGTAAATCCTTGCAGGGGAAAGATGAGTATGTATTCATGCTGTGTCTTGCGACCTCGCACCCCGTCTCCTCCCTCACCAGGACCCGATTCCAGAGGAGGTGAAACCCTCTAGAGGTCCGAAAGTTGGGGGCACCGTCATTACCATTTCTGGACATTCTCTGGACACTGGCAGTAAGGAGGATGTCCAGGTTACCATCGGAGGGGTGGACTGCACTGTGTAAGGGCTTCTTTTCCTCGATAATTGTCATTCATGCCAAAGCTCAATTCTCTTTCAATTCAGTCTCGTAAATTGATAAGTGCTACTTGTTATTCAGATGTTGTATTCTATGCAAATTCTACAGTATGCACACATTGAAGCCCATAAATTGATTTTCTTTTTTACATTTCTGAAGCCAAAATGGAATTGACCTTAACTTTGGTGTCATAAGCATGATTTTTTTTTTTACTTCTACCATTTGCCTTCGCTGTTGTGACCAACGGTGTTCTGTCAAACCAAATCCACGGTGACATTTTAGGCAGAAGTAACGGGAAAATAACGAGCCAGAGGAGCAGCAAAGCCGGGAATTAACAAGCTGTCAGACTGCTGCCATGTTGGCTTCCACTGCACAGTGACCTTGTGCGACCCCGACTCCTGCAGCCAGTTAGTGTTGTGTCCTTGTCTTTGCAGGTTGCACTTCGGAGCAGAGATCACCTGCAGGACAGGAGAATACCGAACAGATAAGGTGCCCTCTGACTCTCTCACCGTCACGGTGAAGTATGGAAAGAGTACCACAACAACCATCCCAAGTGCCTTCCAATTCTTGGAAAATCCCTTCGTGCTGGACCATCACCCCAAAGAAAGCTTTGTCTGGTCAGTATAAAGTAGCAGCCTGCAAGCGGTTTACCTCGATTCAAAGTGTTTGTAATATTGATATTTCATTTTACCCGGAAACATATAGTGTTGAATGAAATTTCAAGGGATATAGTGATAGTGATATTTGGCGTGTGTTATTTTCAAGTTTTGTCCTCATCATTTTATACCTTCACCTTCTTTGTAGAGGTTTGGGAAGTCTGCTACAACATCCACAGTGTCTGGTTTCTTTTTTTACTTTCCGATGTGCTCAAACACAAGTATTTAAAATGATTTCTGTTAGATTGAAGTTTTTAGGCTCTAAGGATGGCAATGTTGGTCGGTCCACCGATTTGGTCCAGACTGAAATATCTCAACAGCTATTGGATGGATTAAATATGGTACAGATATCCATGGAGCTAAGGAAATTAATGCCATTAACTGTGATGATCCCTTGACTTTTCCTCTAGCGCCACCTTAAGGTTGTTATTTGGCGGTTTGAGTGTCTCACCGACCATTGAGTGGATTGTCATGAAAATTGAAACAAATACATGCTCCCCTGCTTTGTTTGGAAAGCTGTAGGAGGCTCGCTCTCCTTGTCGTTATTGATGTAATTCTTACCCGAGTCTGCAGATACAGATCCAATTTAATAATGATTAGTTGTTAAAAATAGCACAATAACATCCGGGTGGACGGAAGCAAATTAATTCTCCTTTAAATACCTCCCACTTTGCATTTGTATTTAAAGTTGAGAAGCCAAAACAGAACAGCAAAGGCGCCTTTGTTGACATTGATGACAAGGTTGTATAGAAAAGTACTGTTATGGAAAATTGAACACTTGGAATGGTACCTGCCTTGCTCTCTGCCACGCAAGCTCCGTCTGAAACCTTGGTAAAGGTTATTAATGCCAAAAACCTTTTAGTTTTTTTTTTAAGCATGATTTGTCCTCCTAGACTAGAGTATACCTGTTGTTTGTGTATGTGTGCAGAATGTTTCCCATACTTACTTCTGATTCGCTGAAGGGGATACAAAATGCTAGTCTTTGATGTTGTACCAAACTGCTTGATGATCTCTGAAAATGGATGCATTAGACGGTTACCTTGCTTTTTTCTGAGCAATTGAAAGCACTAGTGCGCGTGTGATTAGGCACGCAGCCTGGAACAACAGGCAACAGATATATGCGGCTTGCAGGCTAAACTAATTTGTTTTTATCTTCGGTGAAAAATGACCCCAGGCTCAATTTAAGAAGTGTCTGTCTTCCCGCAACTCTCTCTATGAGCTTGTCTTTGTGTGGCTGGCTGGGGATATCTGTTTTTAGATCTCATTTATGTGTTTTACTGTGTTTTCTACATCTGTGTGTCTGTGTGTTTTTAGTGGAGGAAGGAACATTGTGGTGACCGGCTCCGGCTTTAACCTAATCCAGACTGCAGTCCTGAAGGTCCAAGGAGACGATTCAATAGCCTTTGAGGTGTGTCTTCCATTTCTGTTTTCTACTCCCTTTATTAATCAGCGTCTCCCCATGTTGATTACCCTCCTCCAAACGTCATAATTTCTTTGCTCACTTCACACTTTCTCTTAACTCTCAGTCCTACGATTCTTTGTCTCAGAAAATTTCTACTTTTCCACCTGCCCCCCCCGTCCCCCCCGTCCCTCACAGTAGCAGCACTGTCATCGATCTCCACACATCTCATGAGCCCACGACTTCTGTGGTGATTTATTCAAACTCTGTCAAGCATGCACACACGTCAACAAACACACATCTGCACTCCTCCATGCTTCCACTGATCAGAGAGAGTCCATAAGCCAGTATTACGTCATCTCACTTCTTAGGCTATAAATCCTTAAAACCTGTAAGATTGCAGATAGTGGCGCTACTGTTTCACCCTCAGCAAGATACAACTATGTTCCTCGTCCAGCTCAATCAGGTGGATTGACTCTGCCCGGGAACTTGAAGGAGTTGCGCACACCGTGCCGCCGCCTGCCCTCCAGTTTACTGGCCAGTGTTAAGCAGTAGCAATTTTGTTCATTTCATTTAAAGGGCTAAATTTAATACTGGCATTCAAGTTTTGTTTCCCTGGTGCCCTGCTACCCGGGGGACAGGAGAGATTTGAAAAGTCTCCTGGCTGCCACAAACTAGCAGCGAATGTAAAGTGTTATCTCAAAGGCCTTGGCTGGTCAACTTCATAAGCCTCTCTTGGTTTAAGTCTATCCACTGAACTAGACCCAAATATTTTTGGCTGCTGGCTTGTGGCAAAAACATGTTGATTACATTGTAGGTCAGGTCAGCGGCTCAAAGAAATTAGGTTGTTTTTTTGGCTGTAAAGACCCTGCATTTCTTGTTTGTAATTGTAAACAGAGACCTCTAGAGCTGGTTGCACCAGCTGCTCGTGACTTCAAACTTAGCCTAGTTACAAAAATGATTTAGAAATTATTGCTAGATGTAGATTTAAATATCACTTAAATTAAGTTAAAATGCGTAGCACCACCTAAAGTAGTTCGTATGAAGACATTTTGACCCCTGACTTTTCCTCTACCATGAGGTTCAGATTTGTGGTTTTTGTAATAACTTTTATGATCCTCTGATTTTTCATTCAGTTCTATCATCAAGTCAAAATGGTAATTTATTCAATGCTTTGGTTTATGGATAGAGCCTGGCTAGCTTTTATGCCTGTTTCCATTCTTAACTCACTGGCTGCTGGCTGCAGCTTCATACTTATCCGCCATTTCCCGAAATGTTGAACTATAACTTTACCACAGAGCAACATATTGTATGGTCAGAAGAGGCAGTCAGTTCACAGAGCTACTGTGAGTTAACACTTTAAAGGAGCAGTGTGGAGGATTTAGTGACATCTAGTGGCGAGGTTGCAGACTGCATTAAACTGAATACCTCTCCGCTCACCCCTCCCTTTCCAAGCATATTGGAGAACTATGGTGGCCTTTATGTAACGTAAAAACACAAAAGTGCTCTCTAGAGCCAGTGTTTGGTTTGTCCGTTCTTGGCTATCGTAGAAACATGGCGGCGCACCACTTCGGACTCCGTGAAGAGGACCCGCTCCCTATGTAGATATAAAAGGCTCATTCTAAGCTAACGAAAACACAACAATTCTTAGTTTCAGGTGATTATACACTAAAGAGAACATAGTTATGAATGTTATATTCCATTTATGCAAATAAATCCCCCTAAAATAGGACAAATTCACTTTTGAGCTAAATGAGGAAAACATATTCAACCAGTACAACCAGTCTCAAACTTTAGAGTAGGTCTGCGTGACTTTTTAAAGCATTATCTGATGTAGCCTACGCCTTTTGCCTTGTCCTTTGAAAAACGTAACTGTGTGTAAGACTGTAGGGTTTGGCTGTCACACACAGTTTTGTCAGCCCTGCATCGAAACAATCAGAGAGCGACAGAAATATCACCATCGGTCCAGTGAATGAACAAAGCCAGAGGAGTGACTCAGTGTGAGTTGTGATTCATCAGAGGCTGCTATTCTACGATGGCAGATTGGGATTTTAGTAGAATGACTGAAAAGAGACACATACTTTTACCTTACCAATTTTACTAAATCAGACTTTTTCCCCCTACACCCCTGAAACACTCTTCCCTCACACAACAAAAGCATTAATTCCCTGCCTTGTTGGAAAACACCCACTGTTTGCTTTTCTCTCTCTCACCATATTTTCTATGTTGAATACTGCTATATTTTTTTTCTTACTTAATGTGTGCTACGTGTCAACATAAAACTTTTGCATCGTTGTTAATGTCCAGTTATGTTTTACTCACCTTCTGATACATTCAGAAAGCCCACGAGAAGAACGACACGGTCATCCAGTTTCGGTCTCCAACAGTAAACAGCTCCCTGAACCAGCCCTTTAAAACCTACATCCAGCTTGACAACTTGGAGAAGGTACTAAAGCCCTTCGACTACCACCCTGACCCCAGCTTCAACGAGCTGACCAAGAAGGTCATCACGGAGGCCAGCATCATCATCGTGACTGTGAGTGCAGGCTGCTCAGGTCCCTTTTTAATGCTGCGGTTGTAGTATGACAGCAGTGTTTCTGAGAAATATGCCTCTTTGTGTGAAGGAATTAAGATAAATGCCGTTATTATCTGACTTGAGGATAAAAATGGAAAAGATGCTGAATTGCAGTTGCTGCACCACATTTTCGCTCTTTAGCTGCTTATGTTATGGATTGGCTTCATTGCATAGAAAGTTATGCAAATAGCATTACATTTAACATTTTAGCACAGTGGGGTTATTCTTTGGGAAGTCAAGTGAACTGAGGCAAATGTACATTAGTAGTTGCATTTATTTATTCTAACCCTTTTAAACGATAAAAATACCGAATATTGTAATATTCTTAATGTAAATATCTTTTTCTCTAAAACTGTTTTTCCCCAACTCTAGATGGGTAAAGTAAATCCCATGGGTCATGGGAGGATTACCATGAAAAAAAACACAGATTTCTGAAAAACTTTTCAATCACAGCTTTTCATGAAAGCATGAAGGACTTAGCGAGCTGGCCAAGTGGCCAGCTGTTGGCTAGTTAGCCTGCTAATTCCACTATGCTTTACAGGTTACAGAAAACAAGTCCAACAGCGGACCATCTCTGTAGTAGTTTAGCCTATTAGCAAAATTTCTCTCGTCTCTCACTCTCATCCCACTACTGTGAGGTGAGTCGCATTTGCCTCACATTGTTTTGCCTCCAGCTAACATGGTGACGTAATCATGACGTCGGCTGTAAAAGGGTCTACACGTCACCTGCTTCCAGATTAGCCAATAGCAATAACCATTGTGATTGCCAGTAGAGCGCAGTAAGGGATAATGTACAGCGACCCGGTAAAAGAACCCAGACGGGGTGAGCAGGGAAAGGTTCAAGGTTTATATCTTTTTTACACGTCATCTTATTTACAGATACATTTATTTATATGTTTCACGAGTCATTAAATCTGTAAAATCTATATAGAAAATATAGAAAAATGTCCATCACAAACTCCAAAGTGGAAGTCCAAGGTGATTGCTTTGTGCAGACATTGTAAGTACTGCAGTAAATTAGGCAAGAAAGGCATTTGCAAAAGGCCTTTTCAATTACTCAGACAGGCTGGTTTACTTAAAGCTAATTTCACCTTTCTTATATTGCAGACTGCATTAGAATAATTGAAAGCATGTCTGTAGATACAAAAGTGTGCTGCAAAATCTCAAAGTGTATATTGCAATGCTAGAACTGTGGGATTGACTGGAGCTGTGCCTTAACTAAGAAATGACTTAAAAATGTGCTTACAATGAATAGAATCGTAATCTTTCTAATTACTTTCGGCACGCATAGTGGAACAGTGACGAGCTGTAATAAACTTTCCATCCATTACTAATGAAAATATTTTTAATACTCATATGATGGGTCTACTTGATGGTGTATAAATGCAGTAATTCATTTCTCTTCCATGTAGTTCTGTCAAGGCACTTTAAGCATTACAGTCGATCTTACCCCTGCAGGGTCGGGGATTCTCCAAAGCTATGACGGCCAGAGAGGCTCAAGCGTATGTGGGTGACGTTACCTGTCTGGTCAACACACTTCAGGATGACAAGTTGTTTCTGGACCCACCTTCCAGCACGCCCAGCGCTCGCTCCAGACGGCACCGCAGAGACACTCGGCCCGAGCTGCTGGACTTAACGGTCAGAACAACAAAAGTCAGGAAGACACACAGTGGTGGAGGAAATATGTCCTAGATCCTTTACTTCAGTAAAAATGACCAATACCACACTGTCAAAATACTCCATGACTATTAAAAATATGTAACTATAATCAGGAAAATGTAGATATGTACATAAAGCAGAGAAATGTCCCTATTAAGTGTCATATCAATGTATGTTATTTCATTGAAGAGATATGTAGTAAAATAGATGTATACAGTGGCATGAAAAGGAAATAATCAAGTGCAAGTACGTAAAACTTTAATTTAAATGTACTGCTTGAGTAAATGTACTTACTCAGACCTGCAGCTTGGAGAATGGATGGTTAATGAATCGTTACTGTACTTCTCTAGGCGTGTCCTCTGTTCATCTGGGAACCCCATTCTTTTCACTGGTTGAACAGTTTTCATGTAGCTACAGGCCCTTTTGTAATTATATTTAATTATAGCCAAGCCACAATTGTGATGAATACTGTAACCTCTCCTCTGGGTAATTCCTCTAAGTGAGCTATTTCTGTGGCTGTGTGCAGCATAAAGAAGGGACACCAACGAACTATCAAAAGGTGCAGAATACTTACATGGAAAAAGATTGATTATAAAGTGTCAAACCCAATGCACATGCATTTGTTCAGTTAATGTGGGCCCACCAACTTGCACTTTAGAAATACGGAAAGGTCCAGCAGCTGATTTTGCAGAACTTTGGGCAATTATGTAGATCCTCCTCTGTTCCAGCTTCCTCTCCAGCGCTGTCGAATCTTTACCATCGACACCTACCTGAATACATCTCCGGCTAAAATGTCAAGAGCTTGTGCAGATAATAAGATTCTCTCTCTCTCTCTCTCTCTCTGTCTCTGTCTCTGTCTCTGTCTCTGTCTCTCTCTCTCTCTCTCTCTCTCTCTCTCTCTCTCTCTCTCTCTCT